GTTAAATAAGCATTTTAAATATGAGAAACTGGACACAGAGCAGAAGATACCATAGGCACAACTATGATAACCAAGGCTGGAGGTAAAGAAAAATCACAGAAGGGAACCTGCAGAGCTCAATCTGTTCATGCCCACAAGGGCTGCGAGGTGCACAGGTTGAGTTTACCACTTTCACCGCCGAAAAAGATGGGCTCTTTAATCCTGCAGGAAAAGCCTAACAAGAACAAATGGCTGGAAGGTGAAGCCAGGGAAATTTGTATCAGGGAAAGAGGGGCCTGATTTTTAAAGGCTGGGGCTGACGAGCCCTTGGAAGGGATTATTAAAAGCAGCACTGCCTTTGCCGATTGTTTTTAGATAAACAGTGAATAGTTTTCTGGCCACTATCCCTGGGCCAAATACACTTCATTAGGCTTTATTGGTGTGCCTGGATCTGATCCATCAAGGAGTTCCATCCTTTACACAGCTGTTTATGACACAGAGTATCACGCACCGACACGGGTTTTGTTTCGTTTTGAAGGTAATACAAGTGCATTATCTAACCACTGCCTTTGGGACTGGTAAGGCTGAAGGGGTTAATCGCCTCTGTGACAGAGGAATCATTTTGAGTGTTGGCCAGGCAAACAGGCTGGGTTAGAAGAATGAACTATCAAAAACTGTCAGGGTATGAATAGAGTTATCATATGAATGGATGTGCCCCTGGAGATAAAGGCAGCACCGAAGACTGCCAGCGAGGCCAGCAGGGACAGGCAGAACACAGGACCCAAGCAGAACAAAGAGCGGAGGTGGCGGGATGTCTCCAGAAAACCAGTGCTCCCTAAGCCCTGCCGCCGGCACCCAGCACTGACCTGGGATGTGTGGGATGAGCTTCCACCCTTCCTGAGCATCTTTGGGGCTGGGGTTTGCTGCTGGCTTGTTGAGGGTTTTTTTGAGTAAAATATTTTGCTAACCACTTTTCAGCAATCGAAAAAATAAGGAATTTTTTCCTCCCCGAAGCAATTCATCAGGTTTTCAGCTGTACTTAAATTTGGCTTCATCAGATGCATTTCCACCATCACCAAAATGGGTGCTCATTTATTGTCACTGGAAACAAGCCCTTGCAATTTCAGGAAACGAGAATTCAAGGAGAATGAAAAACCTGCCAAAGTAGGTGTGTTTTGTACACAGGTGTGTTATTTTTCTGCAAATTTTGGAGGTTGATTTTCCAGAAGTTTTATAAGCTATTAATACAAGAGGGATGGAAATGAAGATGGCACCAGAAACATATCCCCGTAAGCCTACCTAAAATTATGCAAATATTTGCTTTATATCAGCATTTTCGGAGCAATCAAAAAATTAAACACCCCCAGATTTTTTTTTCACTAATATAGCCTAAACCAGCTCCCTGTTTTAAACCAATGTTTCTCCATCCCCCATCATCAAAAGTCCATAAGCTTAAACACTCTTGTTTCCTTTCCTCAGAGACCAGACACAGACCCCCACAACCTTTTTAAAACGGAAAAGGCGATTTCCTCTCCCTTTCAATGTCTTGCTTTTCCCGCAGCCTCGACTTCGGCATTGCTGCAGAGAAGTAGGAAAGAAGCATTGAATAAACATGCAGATTAGTTTTTACCTTTTTTTCTGTTTGAGCAGAGGGGCAATTAATGAGATTACAATGAGAGATTAGCGGGGGAGACCCCCATGAACCCTTCCTGTGGCCCCCGTTTCTGCGGCGCAGCAAGCGGCTGGGCTTTCCCAAGGATTCTGGTGCTTTCCCGCACCCCATCCCTGTTGAGTGGAGGAACAAAACCCCATCACTGTGGTACAAGGAAAAGATGAGCATCCTCTCCTCGGCTCAGCGTCCTCCCCTGCACGTCACCCCATCCCCATCACCTGCTGTTTGGCTCAGCCAGCCCTATGTGCCCCAAAAAGCTGGGGGAAATGTCCCCAAATCCCTCTCCCCTGCTTCACCAGGTCCCCACATGGAGCTCTCCAAGCTCACCCACGGGCCATGGGGTCCATGTTGTGATGGGGAGGAAAGTCACCCGTCTCATGGACGGAGGGCAGGGCAGAGCTGATCTGGGGGCACCACCTGGGAGGGAGTAGACCCCCAGCAGCAGCATTTGAAGTGCCATTTTTTCACAGAAAATACAATTTTGTTACCCCCCACCCAAGTTCCAAATGTGGTGATTTCTGCTTGTCTGATTTTCTTTCAATTTAATGAAGATATTTTGTATTTTATTATTTAACTTCAATTTGTGCTATAATATAAAATACCTGCTTTAATATTTTCACCTATGCAACTCCATCTGCAATAGTGCAAATATTTTTAGTCTCTCATACTTCATATTATTGAAATATCTTATATTGAAATATTATATATATCGTAAATAATTTTTCTACCTCCCTGCTCTAAAGCAATTTAATAATTTCAGACAATTCTTTTTTCAGTACTCCAAATAAAAATCTTCCACATCCTGCAAATTTTTACCCCTCTTTAAAAAAAATCTGAGTTTTGGCTTTCAATGCATTTTGCAATGGCTGCCGTGCTGAAATGGGGGATTTCCCATGGAATAGCGATTCCCTTTTCCTCTTATTTCTCAGACATGCCTGCACACAAGACTGAAAGGAATAAAAAATATAAGCTTAAAACTTTTTGGAACAAATATTTCAGGAAAGAGAAAGGCACTGGGAGCTCTTGGCAAGAAAAAAAAACTAGGGTTGAAGCTGGTTTTTTAAACAGGTTAATACATGTTTTTATACACCAACTGCCTCCCAATACATGCATGCAGAGTGTAGCACACCGTGGCCTGAAATTTGCTTTGTGGTTGTAATTTTCTACCTTGTAGTTCCCAAACCAGCACTGGGTTTGCTCGGCAGCACAGCCAGAAATGCAGGGCACGGAGAGGCTGTGGGAGCAGGCAGAGATGATGGGCAGCCAGGCTATACCCTCACACCGTGCCCATAGCCTCCACACACTCTGGGATGGGCAGCCAAGCCTGGCATAACTGGAGGGTGGCATGCACCAAGGTTGGGCTCTACTCTGCAGCATCTCCCACATTTCCAGTCCCATCCCATGCCAGGGTGCTCAACAACCACCACCACAGCCGATCTAGTGCGGACGCTGCTCCCAGCCCTTCCCAGCACTGGCGCACTGGGGACTGGCAGAGCCCACAGCCACATCCCAGCTCCATTGCTTATGTTGCAGACCTGGCTGGCACTGAGTGCCCCATGCCAGGGCACAGCAGAGCCCCAGGATCCGCACGGCCATGAGCATCATTGTGGTGGTGGATGGAGCACCAGTCGATTTCTGCAGGCTCCCACACCTTTTCTTGATGCCATTCAGTGCCTCCTGTCTGGTCTAATTGAGATCCAGACTGCTTGGTCTGCCCCAGAGCCCAGCATATGCCCAGCCCTGTGCAACCTCCTGACCAAGGCTGTGATTGAGGATAGCTTTCTTTTCCAACAAATCTTGTGGGAAAGCCAGGTCTGTCCCAGCTGGCGACAGGCAGACAGCAGTGCAGGGCCTGGCTGTCCATGCAGACACCATAAAGCCCAACTCAGCATCCAGCGATCTCCTCCGTAGAGTACAGCAAGGAGACCCTTGCCTCACTTGTCAGTGCCCAGCATGTGCCAAGTCCAGGCAGGGCCGTTTGGCTTTGCGGGGCTGCAGCACTGAGAGCCTGGCGCTGCACAGGCAGCATCCTGCACCACTCCCTGCCCGGGGCATGGGGCAAAGGGCAGCTGCTGCATCCCAGAGCAAAAACCAAGCAAGGGCTAGGAGAGTCGGGGTGCTGGGGCCCCATTCTGCACAGTCACAGCCCATCCCCAGTAGTGAGACCCCAATGCATCCTCCTGTGTGGGCATTAAAGCAGATGGGAAAAGGAGCAGGAAGAAGGCCAGGAAGTAGGCATTTGGCAGAAAACAGAGGTAGGACCAGCATATAGCTGGAAATTGGGGAAAAAGCGAGGAAAATGTAGTAGGTGTTGGATGATGGCAGTAAGCACAAGGACCCAACCCAGCAGGGTTCTTCAAAGTGCACGAGGCACAGGGGTGGCAGCCCTTGGGCCCCAGTGTGCTGGAAGGATGGCAGAGATGCAGGGGCAGGAGAAGGGAGAGATCTCCATGGGGCAGGGACACCGGCCCCAGGGCTCACTGCAGAGCCTGTGCTGTGCTGGCCGTGGTTCTCAAGCACAGCAGAAGGGAGGAAGGATGCTGCTGCCGGTGCCAAGGACATGCTCGGGAGCGGGAACAGCAGATCCCTGGCGATGAAGATCAGCAGACCTGGGAAGCAGCCGTGCCGCCGCTGCCAGCACAGAGGGAGACAGGCGAGCGGGTGGGTGGCAGGAGCAGCACTGCCGAAACCCAGGGGGGCCTGGAATACTGGAGCAGGGACACGGACGAGGGCCGGGGATGAGGGCAGCCGGCAGCTGGGTAGAGTGGCTGGCTGGTGAGAGCAGGCCTGACGTGGCTGACACCAAGATGTCGGGAGAGGATCCTCAGCAGCGTCCCTGCTTCCTACTTCAGAAGTTTCCAGCCCTTTCTCTCACGAGAAGTTTCCCACCTGAATGCTCTTTCCAGCTCCCCTCATCCTCCACACACCTTCCTGTGCCCACCCACTCGCTCCATCACAGCCCATGCTGCTCAGCCAACGCGCCCGGCCCCGCGCTGCTGCCAGCTCCAGTGATGGGGATCGCCATGGCTGAGCTGGTGCCGGTGTCCCTGTCCTCTCTGCAGCCACCCCTGCATGCTGCAGCAGAGCCTGGGCAGAGGAGGGAGGCAGAGCTGCCGGCATTGCTGCAGAGTCGGGTTCTCCTGACCAGCTCCGAAGTTTTGCCTCTGGTGCAAAAGCTCCAGGATTAGCAAACTCAGGCAGGCAGGAACCTGGAGCTGCACTCCCCTGGGAGCACAGAGAAGCAAAGCTCGGCAGGGCTGAGCCCATGTGGGTGCATCCAAACAGCCACAGCGATCCCGCGAGTGCCCCTAACGCTGCCCCGTCACGCCAGGGCCACCCCGGTTCCTACCTTCGCTGCTGGTGGCCGAGAGGCAGGCAGCCAAGGTTATGACGATGGAGAGCGAGGATGTCAGATCCTCCTGTGCCCATGCCATGGTCCGGCGGGGGCCACCAGCGCAGGGCCACCTCGGTTGTCCCAGCACCTCTGCGAGCGAGCTACCTCTGCCCAGAGCTCCGGCAGTGGCCGGTAATGCAAAGGCACTTTGCGCACATTGCTCGCAGCCACACGGGCGGGCGGCAGGGAGGGAGCAGCCTGCCCGTCACCGCTCGCAAGCCAATGGGCTGGGTGGGCTCTGCAGCGAGCCCCCCTCTCCGCGCCACACGCGCTCGCTGTGCCCAGAGCCAGCGCCTGGCCTCGGGCTCCCGCTCCCCGCTGTCCCGCACCCCCCGCCCTCGGGGAGCTCCGACAGCCCCCGCTGCACCTTGTGCCCCCCATCCCGCTCCGCTCTCCTCACCGGCCGCGGCCAGAGACAAACTTGCAGCGCTGAGGGGAGCCCTGCACTCGGCCGGGGCCAGGTGTGAAGGGGATGGGGTTACACGTCCCTCCCGGTGTGCAAGGAGAGGAAAACCCCTTGTAACTGCTGCCCTTGCTTGTCTGTAGGAGACAGGTAGGACACCCCCATCCCGATGCTTTCCGTGCCACATCATTCTGGGACAGACACTCTGCTCACAATTGACCTGTGGCAGTGGGAGCAGGGGACAGCACACGGGGCTCACAACGCAGTGTTTACTGTCACCCGACGGAGGGTCAACCCTCTCCAAAGCAGTTTGGGAAGACACAGCAATTGTGCCAAGGCAGAAAGGCTGGGCACTGGGCAAGGGTGTCCTGGGACAGGCTCCTGGGATTACCTAGGAAACACAAAGCATCCTTCCCACAGCCTCTGCATCCCTCTTGCTTGGAACCACCAGAATTGCCGAGCCAGGTGAGTACCTTGCTCAGCATTAAACACTCGACATCTGTCAACAGACCCCCTACAGCCACTACTGCTTCCCCATCTAAATGCTGAACAATCATTAATATCTGCCCGTGGTAACCACAGATGCTGACTCCCATCTACGCCACGTGCAGTGACTTATTTGCTCCTTCATGCACTCGTGGCCAGTGCATTGTGACTGCAGCTCTACCCTGCCCCAGGAACTACCCGTGGGCAAGGCACACAGGGCAGGATAGGCATCTCTTCTGTTGTCTGTCAGGCCATCCCTTGGAAATGGAGATGTGCTCAGTGGGGACAGGGAAGGAGAGGGGCTGTTGCACACCCTCCATTCCACTCTGTGTACCCTGTATGTTCCCTGGAGATGCTAGACCCCATGCTGGGGCACCCCATGGTGCTAGCAGCAGCTTTCTGCCTGGAGGAGTGAGAAGAGCTCCCTGCCCGCCTCCCAGCGTGTAGTGGTAACAATTTCTCATTCAGAATGGATGAGGGCTGTTACCTGCAGGGACGTGTCTGCACCACTCATCACCAGGACCTGGGAACAGCACAGAACCTCAGGTCCCTCCAGGTTGTGTACCCTGCCTGCCTGGGAAGCAGTCAGTGCAGAGACAGTGCTGGAGAGATCCTGTCATCAGCAGTATCACAGGATGGGCTCGCAGAGTGGCTCAGGCAGGGACACAGCAGTGCCTCAGGACACCAGACACTCCCAGGGCAGCCGGCAGAGGCCGAGCGGGGCTGTCAGGTGACAGGTACAGCTACACAGGGGACTTTGCAGTGGACCTTGGAGCAAAGGTCAGGGCTGATGGCCTCCAAAATCACAGCAAGCCACCAGGAAATCCCTCATGATGCCACAGTAGTTGCATTGCACCCCTGCAGCTGGTGGGAAAGCAAATTTTCTGCCAGCTATCACATTGCTACTCTGACCCAGACATTTCCATTTGCTGAAAGGGCTTGTCACAGCTCAGTGCTGGATCATTCAGCTCTCTGTCCCACAGTGCCCAAGCAGAGCCAGGCATTCCAGAGGGATGATATTCACACTGCCACCATCTGCCTGGCTCTTTTGAAACCCCCTTGCAGAGTTACGTCCAACTCTGGTGCTCATCTGGAGAAGAGAAGGCTCTGGGGAGTCCTTTTAGCCCCTTCCAGGGCCTAAAGGGGCTCCAGAAAATGGACTTTGGACAAGGGATGGAGTGATAAGGGGAAATGGCTTCACACTTATACAGGGCAGGGATGGATGGGATGTTGGGAAGAAAATCCTCCCTGTGAGGGTGGTGAGGCCCTGGCGCAGGGTGCCCAGAGAAGCTGTGGCTGTCCCATCCCTGGGAGTGTTCAAGGCCAGGCTGGGTAGGGCTTGGAGAAACATGGTCTGTTGGATATGGGGTGGAATGAGATGGTCTTTAAGGTCCCTTCCAACACAAACAATTCTATGATTCTGTGATCTCAGTCCCAAACTCTGGAAAAAGCTCTGGGGAGGAGAAGCCAGCTTTGGCCTTCCAGCACTGAGTGATTCCACTCCCAGTGCCATGCCCCTAACCCTGCAGACCTTCAGCACATCCCAGCTACCCACATAGGCTCTCTAGTCCCCTGGTGCCCTCCCAGCCCCATGTGTGACAGGACTGTGGGTCCTCTGGGTCTTGCAAAGGGGCCAAGAGCCAGCAGCCATTGCATGTCCCCCCAGGTTTGGGTTTGCTGTGCTCCAGGACTGCAGAGAAGCTGTGCTGGCTGTTATACACTGTAAAGCAGCTTTGCAGGAGCCAAGACACAGCCACACCAGAAATGCCCTGAAATCCCTGCCAGGGAATGGGAGGCCTCTCAGAAACATTGTCAGCTCTGGGGAGAGGGGATGGGTGTAATGGGATGCCTGCAAGCAGAGGTGGGTGCAGCAGGGAGTGGCATCAGTGTGAACTCTGTACCACAACACAGTGCACACACACTGGGCACAGAAGGGCTGTAGGGGTAGGGGCAGACATTCTGCTTTCCCTGGACACTTGGTTTCATGGTCAGGATGTGCCTTGAGTGTGTAATCAATGCATGTGCATCGAGGCTGGGCACTGTCAGGGGTGCTGGAGCTGGTACAGGATCAAATATTTTTGGGATGCTCCTGGCTGGGAATGCAGACCCCTTCCACACCAGGATGTGTGCAGCCACAAGGGGTGGTCACAAGGCATCCCAGGAACCCCAAAGAGAGCAGGAAACAGAAGCATGGAGGGCATCACACCAGGATCCCTGTCCCTCTCCCCACCTGCAGCTCTCCCCAGGCTCCCATTCAGCTATCTCTGGCCTGAGCCCAGCTGCCTCCCCCTTCTTGCTGAGTGCTGCTGCCTCCTCTCCTTGATGAGTCTCTTGCCACGTCCCTCAGCCATGGTCCTGCACCTGGCTGTCACTGAGATGGGGAGGATATTTATAGATGCAGCAGAGAGAGGAGAGTGCAGCTCAGACAGACAGATCAGCAAAGGAGGGAAGCAAGCCTGGGTTTACCCCCTGTTAGCAGCACCCAGCTCACTGTGCATTTACCAGGGAGGCCACAGCCTCCTTGTTAACTCGGTAGCTCTAACTGAGTGGTTGTTGCCCTTTGCATCCAGCTTTGCACCCAGGGATTACCCATTGCAGCCCTGAAAGAGCAAATCTGTGCCTGGACAGAGGAGAGCAGCCCTGTCTCTGGTGTTCCAGCACTTCTCCAGCACGTCCAGGCACTTCTGCTCTCCTGTAGCATCTGCAGGGCCACGTGCCTTAGGGTCAAGGCTGGTGGAGGCACTACTGGCAGTCATCAAGGGAATGGGACCATCCCCACACCCATGTCACTCTGTGCTGGGACACCAGCAGAGCCAGGACTCTCTGCTCCAACCCCTGTGGAGAAGGAGATGCTTAGCACAGGGACAGAGCCATGGTGCAGGTCTCCATAACCCCTGACACCTCTTCATCCATCTGTCCCCCGCTGTACATCCCTTTCTGAGGAGGAGGAGACAGGATGGGACATGATGCCCTCGCCCAAACCCAGTGCTCTTCCCGCTCATCAGGTGTCTGCAGAAGGACAAGGATGAGCTGTGTATGTCCCTGAGCAGTAACAACACTGCACAGAGGTCCAGGATCTTCCCAGAAAAGCACTGATCATTGTCGGTAGGGGGACAGGACTCCTGGGGGACTTTCTCCACCCAAATAGCCTTAAAGTATGTTCCACATCTTGACCAGGCAACAGCCCTGAATCCAAGGAGCTTTAAAACTTGAGGTTTAAGAAGTCAGATTCCTACTGCCTTCCCCCCCTATCCTGAGCCCTCCATTCTGGCTCTACAGCAGAGTCCCAGAGGTCACAGGACAGAAGGGGGGTGCTGGACCCATGCAGGTGGGACATACCCCTCTACACTTCTGGTGGCTGTGGCATCCCCCAGTAAAGTTTACATTTGATGCCCCAGCCTGAGCTGTCAGCAGGAATTCTCAGGGAGCTCCAGTGTGCCCCATGTAAGGATGCCAATGGACAGCCCTTTAAATGGGCACCTGCTGCATAAACATGCTGACAAGTTCTCTACATGCATATAACAATTCACCTGAAGCAATCTGGGTGTTAAATCACTGTAATTCCTTGTGCTGTGTCAGGGCTGGGACAGATTGCTCAGCTGCAAGGCTGAGGATCACAGAGACCATGTCTCACCTCCTCCCTGCCTCCTGGGCAGACTCTGGCTTTTTTCCCTTTCCAGTGCCTTGGGGTTGTACTTTTCCTAATGTGCCAAGATCCCTTTTCAGCCAGGCGCCTTCCCTGCTTGCCCAGTCCTCCCTGGGGTTCACGAGTACTCCCATCATTGCCTGGCCTCCTACCCAGGGAAGCAGCCATTCAGCCAGGACCTTTCATGAGATGCCATGGCTGAAGATCGCCTCCAGTCCTTCAGCACAGCCAGGTGGAGGGTGCTGCTCCCTCCTCATTATCACAAGCAGGTGCCCAGGTTGTTCCATTAATGCCAGCAGAGAGGGCCAGCCCTTGGCATCACTCGTGATGAGGTACGACTGTGGGAACCACTGGCCAGCTGAGCAATCAGCACACAATTAATTCAGGTCAAGGCTGGGGAGGCTGGGCATGCCTCTCCTTGTCATTATCAGAAATGCTGGGCATTAATATCCTTTATATTAAAAAAAAAATAATCTCATCATAATTTTTCCTCATTGAAAGAGAC